TACGTAGGCGTCGGATCATCTCTTGAATATGGCTTAGTGGGTGTGTACCTTGCCCTGTGGTTTGGTCCTCCTAGGTGCCTGACTCCTCTACTTTCTGCTTCTGAGGCTAATGGTCATCTTGTTCCGCTCGTGCTCGCCCTACTGGTTTTATGTCCCAGTGACACTTTTCTCTCATTTCACTGACTGTACTGACAGCTGTTTTGAAAATTGTGACCGGGCAAAATCTCTTCAGTGTTCAGACTGCTTAGACCTCTGGAGAAGTAACATTGTGAAAAACTGCATTTGGATCTGAATTTGTTGTGCAGAGAGAGAAGTCGTGCGTTAAGCTGATAGGAAGTGCAGTAACTGTAGGTTCAGTCACTGCGTATTTTTGTAAATCTTGTCGAATGCCCGTCTTCTAGCTGAGCACAGTATTGCTTGTGTGTGTTTGGAGTTACATATGTGTACGTGTGTATGAAGTGCGTGTTGTGGGGTGACTTTCACTGACTTGATGGTTAAGAAAGGTTTGCCCAGCATGAATAGTAAAATGTAAATGAGTTGCACTAGTAAAAATTGCATGCCAGGTCACATACTTAACTCACGGATTGTTTCGGGAATGCTACTGGAGAGCTTAAAAATGCACTGCTGGGACCTTTTCATGTCTCATAGCTAAGTAAACTAGATGCCACCCCAGAGAGAAAAAGCAATTTAAGAAGTAATAAATTTAAAAGCATTTGATTTTCTTTTATTGCTATCACTGATTTGAGCTGCACCAGTGACTCTTACTGTGTAGCCTTATGTTATTTTGTCCTGACTCTCTACCTCATCCTTTTCCTACCTTTTGCCAGATCAGCTGGTGATGCCGTGCCTTTGGGGTTGAAAAGACCTTAAATCAATTATGAATTTGCAGTATATACCTAGCACAATGGAAAGAACTGATCCCAGTTGGCAATTCTAGGCATTCTTATAATTAAAATAGTCTAAAATAAACCTTGAACAATTTTGTCGTGTGTTCTTGTACTCCTTGTAATTCTAGGGGACATTCTGAAAACCATAAAGCTCCTGCTTTCACTAATGTAAAGCTCTGGCTTGTGTCCTAATAGATGCAGAAAATTCAGACTTTAAATCACCTACCACACAGCACTTCTGCATTGGTCTTTTCGGGTCCAGAATAAGGATAATTTAATGGAGAAATTCTTGGACGAATAAGAAGTTAAGAAGGGAGTGGAAAATGGTTTTATGGTATCTCAACAGAAACAAAGTTCAGCATGGTGGATATTTGAAACTACAGTAAGTGTGGAGTAGGTTTTAAGGAGGAGCAATTTATTGCCTCCTAGCTTTCCAGAAAGCAGGAGGTCGTGCAGCCAGGTCGTGCATGTTTTGTTGGATCGTATCTTGCACAGCAGAAGGAGGCTTAGCTGCTAAGACTCTTTCATGGGATAACTTCATGTATCGTTCTTTGCTCTCTCAGCAGTTTAGAAATGAAATACTTTTAGCCTCGGAGGAGATGATCTATTTTAAAAACACAGATTGTGTTTGCAGATGGCAGAGAACGGCTTCAGAGTCATGTCGTTTGGGGTTCTTTTCCTACCGACATCGGGGCAAAGTGAGCGCGCTGTTGCCCGCAGCACAATGGAGCAGGTCTTGCTCAAAGCAGACAGCCCGCTCCTCCTTTCCTAGGTTCTGATTGAATACATGTTCAGAAGTACCCCTAGGAACTGAAGGACCAAGCTTGAATGTTTCTTCCCTCCTCTTACACCACTTTTGTTGCATCAGAAATGGGTTTTACGTATTTATGTTTGTTTATCTTTATGTAGAAATAGCTCCTCCTCAGTGGTAACATTTTCTGTGCCTTTACGCAAGCCAAAAATGAAGTTTTTTTGTTTTCACTTGTGTCACATCCCTTCTGTTTACTGTTCTGAGTTTATTTTTGGTGGAAGAAGCTGCCATGTTAACATTAGAGGCAGAAGGCCTCTGCTTCCAAAAGACACAGGAATGGCAATCTGCTCTTGTCGAGAATTACTGCATTGCTGTTTTTCTGTGGATGCAGGCCCTGTGGACACATCCCCGCTAGCTTTACACTGGTGTGGTGTCTATGTCACTGGTCCCTATGCAAGTTGGAGCCTCTTCCCTCTCAAGAATCTCAGTAACAGTGTTTTGCATCTCTAGGTTTTTATTGGGATAGTTATCTTGATATAAATAGCATGTGCTTTGCTTTATTTTTCTTTTCTCCTCCTTGCATTGAGAGCAGACCCTAATACTCCTAAAGTGCTTTCAGAAGATCTGTTAGGTAAATTTAAGCCGGTACTAGGTTGGTGTTTAAGCTAATGCCCTAGCAGTACATGGTCCTGTCTTGTTCTAATGTGCGTAGCTTGTAATGGCATCTAGGCAGGAACATGTAACAGCTTGTTGGGGTTGGGGGTGTCACCTCTGCCTTCCATGTTTGGGATTGTTGGGTGTAGACCTCACGCAGACCTAAGCACTGCCCGAAGCTCATGTAGCCCACATACAGGAATTGTACCAGCTGATCCGAGATTCCTGTGGCAATCCTGAAGTACACCTAGGCCCATGTCTGAAAGCCCTGTGTGTTTACCTGGATGTACTTTTCCGTGTGCATGCTTCCAGTTTCCAAAGTTTGGTGCTTTTCCTGGCTATCCATTCTCCTGGTCCTGTTTGGGACGTGCTATATTGCAGGTTACCTCCGGGGGGAGCAAGGTAGTCAGTTGGAGATGGGGAAAGCTTCGAGTGAAATTTAGAAGCGTTGAAATGTTTTCCTCTGATATATTTAGGAGACCCCTCCAGAGAAGGAGAATAAGCCTACAAGTGACTCTGCTTCCATTTCAAGGGAGAGTAATGAGGTGTAGGTGAAAGAGATGGGCAGAGAAAACAGGAGATGGCAGAAGAGTAAGGAACTCTTCAAAATTTATTATGCATGAGATTGGTTTGGTTTGTATTGTATTGGTAATTTAGGTTTCTAAATGCCCCTAATTTGCCATATGGTAATGTCAAGTGCCTTCCTCGTGGTTTGGTACCTCGCAGTGCTGGGAACTGTATGGGCAGAGAACAAAAAGATGGTTGTCCCAAGGAGCTTAAAATGTGCAAGAAACAATGGAGAAATATAGCCAACTGGGAGGACTACACAGAAAAGAGATCACAGCTAGTAGCCTAACCGTTGTCAGGTTGTGGCACAGCTGGAGTAGCAAAGTGAGAGAACGGAGAAAATCGAGGTGAATGTGAAATAGCTTTGTGGCTGTTGGAAAGGACCTTTTTCCCCAGGTGTGAGAGGAAGCAGGAAGGTATGTGTTGTGGCACTGACATGGGCTGTGATGGAGGTAGGTGTCCAAGAAACAAGTATCAAAACACATTCACTGTGTCAGGTAAGAGGGAAGCTGCTTACACCAGGGTGCTCGATCTGTAGCATGTTTGCTGTGACGTGCTCCCAGGCACCACCTTTGCTGGAAGCCTGTTCTAATGATGTGCTGGGCTTGTGTCCCGTTGAACAGTGGGGAAGAGGCATCTCAGAAACAAGGCTTATTAAGAGAGTTGCCATAGCCTTGCCCTCATGATGCTCTTTTTAACGAGGCCAAAGAGGAGCTAGCAGACTCTGAGCTGGTGGCAGTGAATGAGCTGAAATCCACTCACCTGGGCTCCAATCATCTGCGCTATTACCTATTTCTTAAATATAGTACAGAATTGCTCTTACAGCTTCAGCTTCTTGCATACAGTAGTCTTTCATAATATCTTTGTGCACTGCTTATACCTGTCATTGTAGCAATGGTGTATGGGACTTTAGGAGATTAGAAGGGATAATTTGGAAGGTATATGTTAATTTTGCAGGTTCGGGAGAACAGTGTTCCTTCATGTTTCATGAGCAAGGAGAATGAACTGCAGGCTGATGCTTACAACCAGTAAAAAGTATCAAGCGATTAAAAAGTTGGCCTTAGGGGCAACCCTGAGGAACAGGGGGTTGCTCATGGGTGAGGTGGATTGGCGTTTAGGGTAGGAGAAGTTGACCCCTGGTTAAGAAAGTTTGTATATTTTATTTCGGAACACAGTGCTGGAAAGAGTTATTAGTTTCAATGACTGTGTGTGAATTAAAGGGGGTTAGGGTAAGAATGATGCATAATCATGTAATTAATGACAGTTGATGTATAATCACAAGGGGGCAGTGTTAAGGTTACATATACAACTTGAACTTGTAAGTGTCCTTGCCTCTGAATACGTAATCCTTGTCATGTCAAAATGCTTGTTGATGACTTTTTGCTGTTTCAGCTTCTTTTAAAATGAGTGTAGAGAAGCAGAGGAATTCCCTTTCAGATCTTCAGTTCTGCTGACGTTACCGGTGCTGCATTTGGGTCTGTGCTGTCAGTGTGGTTTGATTAGCTAGAGTGTGGAGCTCCAGGGCCTGTCCCTCCTGCCACTGGTGGTCTGCAGTAGAGATCCTCTCCCCCATGAACTTTAGGAAGGGCTTAGCAGCTTCCTCTCTTGCATAGCTCCCAAAGTGCACTGGGATGTGCAGGATTGCAGCTGGCTGGACTTTATTTAGAGCTAGGTTAACCACAGGTGCATCTGCTCTGATTTCATTTTAGATGTGCCCTTTGTGAGCTTAGTGGAAACACACACAGCACTGTGAGTGTTCACTTGCTTCAGAAGTCACTTGGGTAGAAATCCCTTTCTTTTCAAAGCAATAAAAACCTTGCTACCTTGTGACATCTCCATCCAGCCTTCATGTCTCCAAATTTTTAGATATAGTATAGATAATGTAGTGTGTGTGTGTGTGCATGCTTTGAAACTCAAAACTTAACAGTTATATTTCCTGTACTGATCAGGACTGGAAAGGAATTACCCTTCAGTACGTGCAGTTATGGAAAGCTGTAACTCAGCAGGATATTTTGGAAAAAGAACAACTGGAAAGAACGAAGAAAAACAAAGTTTGACGATTTTTTTGTAAATTAAACTGTAACAGTTGTGCAGCTCCCTCTATAGTAAGATAATATTCGCTTAAACAAATCTGGATATTTCCCAGATTTGTATTTTTTCTGTTCCCCCTGTGGAAGAAAGCAGAAATGAGGTGGAATGTGGCGTAAGTAACATCAGAATGCTGCATACTGCTGGTGCAAGTGTGTGGTTTGGAAAAGCATGTGCTGGAGGGGCCATTTGCACACCTTAGCGTGCATGTGGAAATGATCTGCTCCTGACCTTCTGCTTTTACTGGGTGCCTGTTCCCTGATTTGTGCTGTGGCTTCAGGTGAAGGCAAGGCTGGGGCAGTTCATCTGCAGATGTATGTTCTCTTTCGTGTTCTGCTGTGACCTGTCAGTAAATGACAGACGTGTCCTTCCCTGCTGCAGCTGTAAACTGTGGCGACGGATCGTTGGCCTTTCTAAAGCCCTTTCCATCTGCTGATCTTAAAGGCCTGCGTAAGAGCTACGTCTTGCACTTTTACAGAAAGGGTATCCCAAAAACTATTAGGAGGCTATCAGAAGAAGGAAATATGGTGCTGTTCCCCTTGATAACCATGTCTTTACTACAACTGCATCAGAAGCAGCTATTCTAGTGGATAGAACCAATGGCTGATTGCTTGTGATCTTGGTTTAAGTGGTTTATCTTCCTCCAATCCAGAGGCCACATTAGAGCCTGCTTACAACAAAACTGAAAATAATAGCGGCTTTAGATCTTAGACCTTCAAGAATTTGTTCCATTGAAAGAAAATAGCTTTTCATCCAGGAAATGACCAAGTGTCATGCTGCTTTGAAATCTTGCATATCCTTGTGTTCTGGGTGTGTTTTCATGGGTCCAGTCAGGTTAAATTCATGTCATGTAGAAAACAATGCTTAGTAGAATTAATGGCAGGCTGGCTAAGTATAACCATGCCATACAATGTTTGATAAAAGCATCGCTTTCATGCTCTTCTTTCTAGTGAGGAGAGCTTTCAGTGCATATCCTTCCAATGAAGGTGCTTTGGGCTGAATGTCGTTTTCAAAATGGCACTAGGAGAGGTGGGGATTGCTTGCTGGAGGAATATGGATGCTCTTCTTTCCCCCTTGCTGTGCGGTGACCCTTTGTGGTGCATGTTCTTGTTGCCTGCTGCTGCTTGTTCTGCTGCCTTCCAGATGAAACCATAAGACTAAGACTCTGGCAGACTAACCATAAGACTAGGACATGGCAGAATAGCCAGTGCTTTTGTGGAAAGTAGAGCTGTTAACTTAGGTGCATCTTCCAGTATGGATGATTTAGATACTTCCTTCTGATGTCAGGTGAATGCTGTATTCATTTTGTTCTTAAATATTTTTATTGCAGAAAGGTGGTGACGATGCCTGTGGCAGGGTTTCATGATCTTGGGGAGGCTGTGTTGTGAGTGGTAGAGAGGTTCCTGAGTACCACATGATTTTTTTTGTATCACGAGGGGTGGCAGTGGCAGACTTATCCAGGTCCTGTTTGTAAAGCATGTGAGCAGCCTGGTGAAAGGCATGTGAGAGATGCAAAGTACTGTTACTGTTATGCTCCTGAGTCCTTTCAGCTGGATTCAATTGCTTTTTGGTTCTCTTCCTTGACAGGTCTTGGCTCGTGGGAAACTCTTTAGCAATCCCAACTGGAACCTCACACCAAAAGAAACCATGATAGTGATGACTGATATCACTGCAGCCCCCAGATTGGGGTCAACTGCCACCACTCCAGCTGTGGCTCCCAACTTCTCCTGGATGCCGGACGATGGCAGCCCTCCGGCTGTGGAGCAGCCAATATTCCTCATGACCACCGCTGCTCAGGCCATCTCAGGTTTCTTTGTATGGACAGCTTTGCTCATCACCTGCCATCAGGTAAAACCCTGTCACTCATACTTCTCATCCTTTTCTTTTCCCCACATGGAGGAACACATACGATCCCCTGGCATATCTCTGCCAGATACAGCTGTGTGATGGGGGTTTGCCGACTCTGGAGTGGTACCAGGACCTCTTCTTTGGGGTCTAATATATTATCTGTGCTGATCAAGGTGGCAGCTTTTATATGAAGGTCTTTTTCTGCCCAGGTTCAGACCGTTTCCATAGTGTGAATGGAGAGGAAGCAAACTCTTTAAAACTAGCAGGTGTAAAACATTTGGCCGTTTCTTGAGTGTTTGCAGAAAGGTGTGTTATCTCAAGCCATCCTTTCCCAGGTCTTGTAGCTGAATCTAGCCATTTTGTTATTGTGTCAGCTGTTAGCTAAATGATCATGGTCGTCTGTTGTTTGGCGTACCTCCTTTGATCTCCTGTGCCAGTGGATTCCACAGGCTGAACTCCGCAGCGGAAAGGAGTAGCAGGAAATGTTTTATTTTAATTTTTCTCCCCTCCCCTCTTTCTGGGGCAGGTGTCCTGGGAGCCAGAACAAGTCAAACCCTGCATCCTGTTCTGTACCTCTTTTTTGTGTGGTTGTCATGTGAACTGAAAAACACAGTGGGGAAATGCAAGCCCTGTTATTTATCAACCTGTGTTTTGTACCTGTTGGTCCATAGATTCCAGAGTGATGACTAGGATCTAGAAAACTACAGCCTATTGATGGAGTACAGGGGCTAGTGAAGTTCAAAAATGGATTAGTCACTGATGAATAAGAGTAACACCTGCAGTTTCACCAGCTCGGGTAACAATTACAAGTGCCATGGATCCTCCTGTCAAATTGATCACCTACTGAGGGTAGGAAGAAATCTTTCCTCTGCAGTATAGCATTGCACAGTTAGGCATTAATGCCCTTCTCCAAAGAAACCAATGGAGGTCAGTGCCAGAGAGACACTGTTGATTGAAATGTGCTGTTGTCCTGTTAAAAGGCAGCAGTTCTTGTGCTCTCGTAGGCTCATGGATCTCAGGGCTCTTGTGACATTCCAAGGGCAAAGCTTGGAGTCATCTGAACTCCGGTGTCAGCTGTCCCTGTGCTGGGTGAGGTGTGTCACTGGGATTGTCACAAGGAAAAAATATCCCTAAGGCTTGTTAGTTTATTTTCAACCTGTTCTCTTCAGGAAATGAGGCTTTTGTGAGCTCCTCATGGGTTAGGGAGAGGAAACAGAAGTATTTTGAGCCCTTCAGTCGATTTTGACCAGATTTGGCCAAGAGGCAGGGAGAAATGAGCAACAGACAGCTGGGGAGAAACAACCCCCTCTCCCTTACGAGGGAAAGGCGAGATCATCAATGTATGCTTTGTTAGACCCTGGAGAATCCTCACAGCACCCCCAAATGCGGGGTGAAGCTTCAGACAAATGCTTGTGCCTCTTCAGGCAGCAAAGTTGGTCAGTTGTGAGGCACATATGTAATAAACTAGCTGTTATTAATTCCAGCAGTTGGGGTAGCAGCTTGATGAGTGTTGCCGTACGGAGGCCTTGCCTCTGGAGAACGTGCCCTCTGCTGACTCCGTGGCTGACAGAGCATACCCGCAACTCGCGCTGAAGCTCTGGCTGTGTTATTAGGCCATTACAGGAGTGGTGCTCGTCTTCAGGGTATGCTTGTGGTCAATACCTTTTCCAGGAGGTGGGTATTCTGTGAAAAAGCATCTTAGGTGTGGGATTTAATGATGGCTAACAAACTGTCAGCAGTGGGAGCAGGTAGGGTGGGGACATTGCCCTCCCCCCAGCCAGTGACTTAGAGGGATTGGCATGTGTGCAGACAGTCGGACAAAACAAGTCGTGTGGCTGCATGGTTCCTTTGAGAGCCGTGCATGAGCTTGGTGCTCGCTTGGTGGCTGATGCTCCGTGGCTGTGCTGTCACCGATGTGCAGAATGGCACTTTTTGAGCATATGGGCTGTGGCTTATCAGCTCTTGGCAGTGCTGTGAAGGGCTCTCTTAGGTCATTTCAGGTGAAAGTCTCGAAAGCGTCCAAAACTGCCAAGAGAGTGAGAGTGTTTACAATGAGCATGCGCTTAAGTGTATGCACCTTCCCTCTTCAGAGAAAAGCAGCCTGCAGTGTTGTGAATCTTAGGTACTTAAAACAGGATAGCAGGAATATGGGATTGATAACCAGGGGAAAAGAAAGGTATGAACAAAAGAATATGGGCAAGGTAATGATAATAACAGTAAATTAATTCCCTCTAAGAAAATAGACTAGAAATCCCTCCACTTCCTTTTTCTCCTCCTTCCCACTCTCTGCAAACTAAGGGGTGCTATATGGATGCCGTAAGATAATAGTGATTTTTTTTTTTTTTAAATGCTTATCACCTTGAAGCTGCTGGAGGCAATCAAGAGATGATTTACTGACTGTTTTTCCTGGCCCAGTTGACTCTCCAGTTCCACTTTCTCCTCTCTATTCCATATACTGCTGATCCTGGTCTCCTCTCTCTGTCCTCTCAGATCTACATGCATCTTCGCTGCTATAGCTGCCCAAATGAACAGCGCTACATTGTTCGGATCCTCTTCATTGTGCCCATTTACGCCTTTGACTCATGGCTCAGTCTGCTGTTCTTCACCAATGACCAGTACTATGTTTACTTTGGCACAGTGCGGGACTGCTATGAAGGTAAGGAGGGGTCAGACAGAAAATGGGGGAGGTGGGAAGTCTGTGCCTTGAGAGAACTCTGGCTCCTGGTTGGGCACATGGAGAAAGCATCTGTCACCTACTGAAACAGTGTTTGATGCTGTGCTTGACTGGTTGACCGTGGCTTGCTCAGTGACTGAAAATCATAGAATCATAGGATGGTTTGGGTTGGGAAGGACCTTTAAAGATCATCTAGTGCAACCTCCCTGCCATGGGACATCTTTCACTAGATCAGGTTCCTCAAAGCCCCATCCAACCTGACCTTCTCCCTTGCGGGCCTCTGAGCACGACAAGATGTGTTGAGCCTTCCCTCCAATGTTCTGTGGAGACAGAGTTTATGATTTTCTTGGGTCCTTTGCTTCAGGAAGGTGTAAAGCCAAAAATCTGATTCTAGCTGGGTGTTTAAAGCGAGGTATCGGTTAGCTCCCGGTTCTTGGAACAGCACTTACTTAGCAGCCAGATGCTTGCTTTGTCCTTTTTTCCTGGCGCAGTTTGTTAGCGACGTATTCTTCTGGTCCCATCCTGTGGCCACTTGTGTGATCACGCAGGGTAGCAAAGCCATCGTGTGCTGGTGTTGGTGGGGTGTAAAGTGCTTTGGAGTCCTGCAGGAGACAGGGTGTCATGTTCAGGATGAGTTACCAATTGCTTTGTTTTCGGTTATCTGCTGCAGATGATACCACTAGCATTTTCTGCGAGGGAAACAGTTACTCTCCAATAAATGCTATCTAAACTTCCCTCCTGATCTCATCCAGAAAGGAGCCTTCTACCCATCCAGCAGGAGAACTACACTCTAGCAGTGTCTTTTTGAGGACAGTTTATTGCCATACCCTCATAAAATCATAACTTGCTCATGCAGTTGTTTTGGTGAGATCTGCATTGCAGAGAGATGCCCCTGGCCATGTGAACAAATTAATCAGCTGAAGGGACTAGCAAGCCCTCCTTCACACCCACGACAATGCTCTGAGATGCAGCAGCAGATCGCAAACGTGCGCACGTGATTCAGAAGGCATCTTTCTTTGGGCCTGAGTGTTTTTTCTTCCCTCCTTCCTCACCCTGCGCACATGTGTAGGTCTAGCAGGAATCCTGCTGCCCTGCAAAACTCCTCGTAGTAACTGCCAGTATCCCTCTGCCTCGCTTGCTCGGGGAGTTTGCAAACATCTGAGTGTCTGCTCAGGAGGCAGCCCATGCTCCCAAGTTCACCTCAGCATGTTGGGCTGTGTGAAAAGACTACAGGTGGAGGTGAAAGCACCTTTGGTCAGTAGGTTCTCTCCCTCGCTTTTTCTGGGGACCGCTTTGAAACAGCCTTTTGTTCTCTGCCTTCCCTTGCCATCCACCTTATTTCATTTTTGGGAAGGTATTAGGTTGCAAAGTGGGGGGAGCCCTGTTAGGGAACAGGGGGAGAAGACCCTGTTAATAAATTTTGAAAAATGTCTTGGGCCATTTATGGGCTGCATTTCATAGTGTGTGTTAGGAGGAGCATGTTTTGGTGTTGCTTGTTCACATGACTGCTTCTGTACAAACCTGGGTGTCAGTGTTACTGACACGAGTAGATTTTTTTTTTTTTGTTATGTTGATGTCATGAGCACCATCTGATGAATGTGGATCAGGAATGGGAGAGGAGTTCTTTTGGTGGTGTGGTGAACTTTGATAGTTAGCACTCATTTCTTTCGGGAATGGAGGGGCAGATATTTCCCCCTCCCATTGCTTTTTTTTGTTTGTTTTCTTCTGCTGATGTCATCTCTTCCCTAGTGCTTGTGGAATGGGCAGCTGGTATTGTAATGACCACATCAGAGGGCAGGGGTCACTGGAGGACAATAGGAAAAGCTCAGCTTTTCTCCCTCTGGGTGCTGGGAGCTGTCAGCTAAGTTGCAGGAAAATTGCAGGTAGAAGGGGTTACCACAGTTATTTACATAAGTTTTCCATGGTTGGTGTTTTCTCTCCTAATTAAGGCTTTCGGAAAATCATTGCTATGTGAACATACCTAACTTTGTTCAATAAGAAGGATTACAGATGGAATAACAATATCCCAATTACAGACATAGAAGCAGGTATACCACTGGCTTTTATGTGCTGTAGCATTCTGGCCAGCTAGGCACATCTACAAGCTATAAATACAATGTTTTGAGACTATAAGCGTTTTGGGGAGCGTTGAGTACCTCTTTTCCAGGGCATAGTTTGGATGCTTGTAGAAGAATTAGAGTTGATGTCTGTCTCTAACTTTGGAAGTTCATCCATGTGGGGAAATTGACCTCAGGTCTAATAACTGGCTGCTTGATGAGGTCAGCTTCTCAGCACTGTACATTATTAGGCTTTTGTTCTTATTTCAAAGTTCCGTGAGACTTCTGTTTCCATCCCAAGTCATTTTCTCTTCGTATTGTGTCAATGCTGGGGGCCAAAACCAGGATTTGGATGCTGGCATTCCAGGGAATGTCCAGGTACAGACTGTCATAGAAAATAATGTTGAAAGAAGGGTCACCTGGTCTGTCATTTTGCCCCAAGGCTGTATGTGCCAAACTTAGGAGTACAGTCCTTGCCCTAAAAATCTCACAACGGTATGAGGGTCCAACAGCAATTATAACAAGTCAAGAGAGTGGCAGACAAGGCATGTACTTACTCCATGCACAGTTAAGTGGGTTTGGATTCCGTGAAAAGGAAACATGTCTGTAGTTATGATGAGAGCTCTCCCCACAGTGTCTTCACCTCAGTTTATATGTATGAACAAAACTGAGCCTTGAAGAGAATTGAAATGAGGCAGAGTATTACCGGTCAGTCTGAGAAGGCTCTTCCTCGTCTGTACTAGGTTGCTGGGGAAGGCAGAAAAGAGGTGGCCCAAGGAGAAGGCTATTCAGTATGCAAGAAATTTCAGCTTTCTGAGGAAATGAAGCACAGAGCCTGTTTTTCAAAAATCTCCACCAGACATGAAAACAGAGTTTCACTGATTGGTAAAAACCCTCTGTTTCTCCAACTCTTACGTCTATAGTCTGGTTACCTCGCAGAGAGAAACTGTGTTCATCACCTAAAAGGTTAAATACAGGAGATAAGATATGGTTGATGGATCAGAGATAACTTTTCCAAATTATTTAGTACCAGTGTAATGTTCTGGAATAATGCACAGGAACCCTGTAAAGAATGGCATCTTACAGATGCCAAGTAAAACAGTGACTGACTGCAGTTTTAAATGGTCCTGTGACCCTTTTGGCATGAGTCATGGAACTGGCCTGGGACCTTGGCCAAACTCCAGTTCAGATAGTCTTGTGAGTACTGAGGTAGGATGATAAATGCAGTGAAAATAATCTGGAGTGCTTTGAAGGGAAAGATGCTGCATAAGCAGTCTCTGCTAATGTTTGGTCTGTTGCCTGTACTTTTGGTCCTTGCACCTGTTTTGAAGTTGGTTGTCATTTTACTCTGATTGATGTCTTTGCAGCCTTTGTAATATACAACTTTCTCAGCCTCTGCTATGAGTACTTGGGAGGGGAGAGCTCCATCATGTCTGAGATCAGAGGGAAACCAATTGAGTGAGTATTTACTGTGCTTACAGCATGAAGCTCTCCTCCTTCTGTGCTCATCTACCATGCCTCTGTCCCTGCCCTGAAAAACTGTGTCAGGTGGCAAATGTCTGCTGAGATGAGACAGCATGGATGGTGATGATTTACCAGTATCCTGCTCTGAGACAGATCAGGCTGATCACAACTTCTTAGGCAAGCTGGACTGATGCACAGCTTTTCTGGACACCTGCCTACTCCTTTGTTTCTTTTCTTATTCCCTTCTCTTCCTTTAAACCTTTTCTGCCTTCGGTTGGTTGTGTGTGCTTCCTTTAGGATCTGTATTTCTCCCCATGCTACAGTTTAAAAAAAAAAAAAAAAAAAAAAGGAAAAAAATTGGAGTGTGGAGTCAGGTTGTTGTTTTAAACCCTCTGAAAGAGGGTATGGCTGTAACTGTAATCATGATTGGAGAAAGCACCAGTCCTGCAACTGTGCTACAGAGAGGTAGACAAAGAGGGTAGGAATCTTGCACTCTAGCCCAAATCTTGCTTCTGAACCCTGTCATCTTGTGTTGGCTCTTTCAGGTCCAGCTGTGTATACGGGACTTGCTGCCTGTGGGGAAAGACCTATTCGATTGGATTCCTGAGGTTCTGCAAACAGGTATGGGCTGGAGGAGCTGTGCCATCCTCTAGAAATTAATGAAGTGTGTGTGGGTGGCAATGGTGTCTTTTGCTGCTGAACTTCTGAGATGAGCGCTCCTTTGGGGGGAATTTATAATATCGTTTTGAGAGGCCTGCAGACTGCTAAGAAGAAGGGGTATTTCGGGGTTGGCTGGTTTGTTTTGAATGATCTTAACGTTTTCTACTCAACCCCACATCAGGAAGGCCTTAGCAAAAGACCCAATTTATCTCCTGGATCTGATATTAGCCCTGGGAAGAAATTCTGATTTCCTCTTCCCTTTCTGAATTGCAGAGGTCCCAACTTTAAGAAATTGATGGCTGTGGTGTGTTGCAGACACCCCACAGTTGTGTAACAGCCTCCTGAATTCCCAGTGCTGCTGTTGTGGTTTGGAATTGAGGAGGGGGTGGAGGCTAAGTGTGACACAATGCTTTGTAGGAGGAACTGAGTATTGCTCACCATGTGTGTCTGTCTGTGCTGAATTGGGTATGTCGAGGGGGAGGGAATGGGGGAGATCTAAACCTTGATACAGCCCTCCTCTGCTCATCCCAGGTCAGTCACCTCTGTCTGCCATGAAACAGCAGGTGAGTTTCAAGGCTTTGCTCACTTGCTGAAATGAACATGTGAGGTTTCTCTGGAGACAGCGTGAAGCAGGTCTGGTTCTTTGAAAGGGCTCAGGTCACTGTAATTCCAGTCATGGGTCTAGATATCTGCCCTGGCTTTTCCTCCACATCATGCCCCATCTTCTGTGTTTTAGCAATATGCAGGAACATCAAAGGTACAGTGTAGCCTCATAGTAATATCCAGTGTTAATCTCTGCAGCATGATTGGCCTTTTTCAAAGGACCACTTCTTTCTTTCCTCTGTTCTGTTTGTCTCTGTCGCATATTCTGTCCTCATGGCTTTCCTGTTTTCTTCCCTGATACTTTATTTTCTAAGCTGCTCCCAGTATGCTGCTTCACCTGTTTCTCTTGGGCTTCATTTGTACACCCCATGTTTGATTCAATGCATTATCTATTCTTTTTGCTCCTAATGTTAACTTTTAAATATGTCAGAAGCAAGCATAACACTCATCAAGGTGAATGAGTGCTGGAGAAATAATTTCCCTTAGACCTCTTGTTTCTCAAGTCCCACAGCCTCTGGCGGTTACCTCCACATGGGTTGCACCTGGCTGTTCAGAAAGTTTTTTCACAGCAATGAAGACTAGAAGCACTTTTATGGGGGTGATTCTGCCTGCTTCCACAAATCCTCAGCTCACTTGGTAACTCAGGCTTAGGTGGATATTTTGCTTTTGCTTTGCTGCTATCTGGCAGCAATTCTTCTAGTCAGTCCTGCCCTTTGCAAACTGCTAACTCTGCTGTGGAGGCTGTGAGGGAGGTGTCTTGCAAAGGGATGTTTAAGTACTTCCGTCCTTCTTGGCTCAAGCTTAAATATTACCTTGGTGAGAGATCTTCGGCACCAAGACTCACTTTCTAGTACTTCTAGACTTCCAGGATTGCTGAGGAAGACCTTTCAAGGCAAATTCCTGGGTAGGCTGGTGCAAAAGGACAATAGAGCAAATCTCAGTGCTGATCTGTGCAGTATCCACCATCGTGGTTATCAGGAAGAGGAATGTGCTGGAAGGAGCATCTTGCCCATTTTATCCCTGCTCTCAGCATCTCCAGCACTCCTGTTGCCTCCCACCACCACCTGCCCATGTTCTGCTCTTTCCAGCCCCTTTCATCCTGAAGGAATCTGTGTGTTATAACCATTCCTTCTTTCCATCTTCACCCCCACCCCAAGCTGTTCTCAGGCAGGTGCCTGCTGTGAGTCAGTCAGTCTGCCTGCGTTGCCTGCAGCCCTCCAGCAGTCGGGTGGTGTGCTGGTGGCTGCGGTGTAAAATCTGGGCAGCTTGTTTCCTTAAAGATGTCTTGATCAAGATTCGTTACTGGATCCGTGTCTGGTGACCCTCACAGATGGGTCACACACCATCCATGTGCTTCCGGTATGCTCTAGCATCTTCTAGGGAAGCAATTAAAAATAGGATGTGGTGGTTTGGATTGCAGGGAAATGGTTAAAACATCCCCAGATTGGAAGGAGGGGAAGCTTAGAGGACAGAGTTGTTTACCAGTTAGCTTGACCTTTTCCAGTTCACATATTTACAGTGACTCACTAACTGGCATGTGCTGGGGTTTTTAATCTCCTTGAAGTCTTATGACCACTAACAAATTGCATCGTATCCAAAGCAATTATTCCTGTTTGGTTTTGCCTTCTTTCCATACACAGCCCTCCCCATATGTGCTCAGGTCAGCACCTGCCCAGGTTCTTCCAGCTTCCTTCAGGGAGACACGGGTGACGTTTTTAGGGTCACAACCCTCCATTCTCTTAGGACATTGAAGTTCAATGTCTCCAGAAAGGCGAAGAATGGGGTGGCTTTGAGAGAGGAGTCATCCCAATAGGAGCAGTGATTTTTACTGGCAGAATGGGTAGAACTGATCCCAAGTGCCACAGAGCCTTTGGGGAGATTCGGTAGAGGTCGTGTGGGTGAGAAGGGAATAGCTCTTAACTTCTGTCTGGCAGCACACATTGCTGTGTATACAAAATGCCTTAATATGGTGGCAGTTGTCAAAATTCCTCCTCAGAGAGCTGGGTTCCTCTCCTATCCAGGGGACCTTCTTGCCTAGCTTTATGGCAACTATGGATTGGAGTTTGCTTCCCTTCCCCAATATCCCTTTGATAAACTTGCTGTGTCCGTACCATAGCACAGTGTGGGATTTTTTTGTTTTTCATGCTGTTAGTGTGCATAAATGTGCTGCAGCACAGCCTATGAAAAACAGCTCTGGAAGAGAGCAGCTGAGCAGCTTCTAGGAACCAATCTACAGAGAGGTTTTTCTTCCCATTATGGACAAGTAGATAGCACACATACTTCATCTGAATCTCCTTTATCTCTTTTTGGGTGCTGCAGTCCTCAAGTACAATCAGTTAGCAAGTGGCGGGGACAGACTCCTTCTTGGGGCTGGATTGTGTTGCCTTGCTGAGTTGTCCCAGTGGACACTCCATCATGGTGCTGGTTCGGGAACTTGGCCTCTTATACTTCCTGCCTTCTCATTCCTCCTCTCTCATTTCTGTAGGCTACCCTGCAGTTCTGTGTGGTGAAGCCCCTCATGGCGATCAGCACAGTCATCCTTCAGGCCTTCGGCAAGTACCAGGATGGTGACTTTGAGTAAGTTTGTTTGTCTGTCATGTAGGCCTCGGCTGCCCCTTCTATACTCAGCTGTGCTTATGGTCTGTGTGTGTGCTGGGCCGTGGGAAAAGACAGGGGGGCAACACGGGCTGAATATGCATGTGAGAAAAGAGGGCGGGGTAAGCCTGTTGGTTTCAGGTTTTTTCTACCTTGGTTTGGGGGAGGGAGTGGGACAGGAAGGCAGGAAGTAAACGGGTCTTATTACTCCCCAGTGACAGCGGCAAGGGGAGAAGATCATGCTGAAATTTCAGGCGTTCATGTATCTTCTCTTTTCAGTGTAACCAGTGGCTACCTCTACGTGACGATCATCTACAACATCTCTGTCAGCCTGGCACTGTATGCCCTCTTCCTTTTCTACTTCGCCACACGTGAACTGCTCAGTCCCTATAGTCCAGTCCTTAAGTTCTTCATGGTGAAGTCTGTCATTTTCCTGTCCTTCTGGCAAGGTGAGCTGCTTTTCCCTTCCCTTGGTAGGCACAAAGAGCTCTCTGCAGGGGCTCAGACACTAGAGTTGATAGAGCAAATGCTGATTTAATAGCCAGAATGTCTTTCTGTATTATTTTTGTTACATTTGTTTTATAGTCTTTCATTGCTTTTCTCTGGGAGACCTGTTTTGCTCATTTTCATCTTTGTTTCTGTGCTCCTGAATCCTCACTATCTCTGTGTGTGTGCATGTGCATGCACATACCTGCCTGGTAAAATTAGCTATTTGGATGAAGAGTCCTTTGCATTCCTGAAACAATCATAAAGCACAAGCTGCCAATATTCTATCTGCATGCTGCCATTTTATAGATTAAAGTGGCACATCTAAAAATTTTTAGTACTTTTTTTTTTTTTTAGTGCTCTATAAATAAATTTTAATGGCCAATATTCTATCTGCATGCTGCCATTTTATAGATTAAAGTGGCACATCTAAAAATTTTTAGTACTTTTTTTTTTTTTAGTGCTCTATAAATAAAATTTTAATGGTATGTCTGTGATTCATGTGAAGCAGCAAGCTGGCTGAATGCAGCGTGTGCTGCCACAGAACCACCACCAAGCGGAAGGACATTCAGAATATGTACACATGATGCAGAGGCACATTCAGAAAGCTGAAATTCCACCTAAGCTTAGTGCTTCTTACTAATTGGCTCTAAGCATTTCCCTGTTCAATGCCCTGCTTAGGTTTACTGAGTTGCACTTCAAAGACTAATCGAGTAGGAACTTAGGTGGAATTTAGGCTGTTGGAGTATGGCCCATCCTCCCTGTCTACAAACTAATAAGCTGTCTAGTTTCTCATCTTGAGCCATCTGGTCATGTGCTTTCTGCCTTCTCTGGAATTCTAAAGCCACCTGGCTATGGACAGGGAGAAACATTTTCCTTGCAACGGTGTGTCAAAAACACTTCATGATTAAAGTAAAAAGCTCTGTTACCTCAATTTTTGCTCCAGCTAGTAGAGGTGTTGAGATCGCGCACAGAAATATCTGACTGCTTCTTACCCTTTTGGACTTGATTAAGACCTGCAGCAGCTAGTTCCAGAGATCATCTGTCAGTTGAGAATAGAAGAGGGTCAGTGTTTGAACATTCTTTGCTTAAACATATTTGTCTCATTTACTCCTCCTTTCTCTGTTTTATGGGTGAGTGTAGATGGGAGTATCTAGCCCGCTCGGTAGTTTCGGTGTTAAATGAGTTTGCAACAGCACAGACAGCTGTTTCCATTCCTCGCAGTTAGTATGCAATCATGTTTTCTGCACATTTACATGACCTTGTTGCTTTGTTTAGGGATGCTGTTGGCCATCTTGGAAAAGTGTGGTGCCATCCCCAAAATCCACTCTGCCAGCGTGTCTGTGGGTGAAGGCACAGTAGCTGCTGGGTATCAGGACTTCATCATTTGCGTGGAGATGTTCTTTGCAGCCATCGCCCTACGCCATGCCTTCACGTACAAGGTGTATGTGGACAAGAGACTTGACGCCCAAGGTAGGAAATATGCCAGTGCATATGGCATGTCTATTTGGTAGCGAGACTGGGTGAAGACTGGTCCCTCTGGCAGCCAACACACTGATATGACTCTCAACCTGAACGCTTGGAAAACATCACATCCCCTCCTCCGTGGTGTCTGAACAGATTCATTGTGCAATGGCTCTGCAGGGCAGAAACCTTGCCTGAATTGCGTTGTTCCCTTTTCAGTTCCCCAGTATGCCACCCACGACAGCTTGTTGCAGACCTGTGGGCTGCTAGAAGTTGCATCCTTTTAGTAGAGTGTGTTTGTCCTTCTTCCTGTCTCCCCAAAGGGGAACTCCATTGCTCCAGATTGTGCAACAGACTGAAGGCAGGAGGGACAGGGCCTGAAACAGGCTCTGTTTTGAATCTGGCTCGGGAAGATGAGGCTGTGCTTTGGCAATATGTTTGGCTTGGAGGAGGAGGATCTTCCTGTAACGACTTTGTGAGGGCTGGGCTGCTAGAAGTCTTATTCCGGGGAAAAGGGAGGTGGATGTTATCTTTGGGAAAAGGGGGTTCTCATGCCCGGTCTATGCAAGTACATTCAGTGTTCTCCAAATAATGGGGTTCCTTCCTGCTGGGAGGAGTCTGCGCTGAGGTGCGGGAAGACAGCAGCCCTTGGGCAGTGTTCGTGTAGATGATCCCTCCATCCCAGCCAGCCCCAGAGGTTTTGGAAGGACAGTGGCCGCAGCTGGGGGAGATGAGATCTGTGGGTGATGAAAGGGTAAACTGCTGGCTAGTACAGTGGGGGATGTTTCGGTGGTGGGTCTTGTTCAGTTCTTGTTATTTCCTCCCTCTCTCTCTCTTTCTTTCTTTCTTTCCTTCTTTCTCTGTCTCTCTCTCCCCTGCTTTGGCCACTGGTCCCTGATGCAGCTGTTCCATCATATGGACCATACGGTAGGTACAGCATGCTCTGTGTTTGTCTCTGTTTGGTTTTTAACTGGGATGCTGTTGTGTCCTGATTCCCAGCCTGCCTACTGCCTGCTCTGTCGCTTGTTCCCCCTTCCTTGTAGGTCTGTAACTCGACTGCCTCACAGCTGCTTTAGGGTTGTCTGGATAAGTTGTAAAACAGCCTGTGGGCAGTGGCATAACACCTAGCTTCAGAGCGTTTCTGTCAGGACTGTGAATCTCTCTCCAGAGTTGCACAGGCTCTCAAAGGAGACGGTTTGCTCGCTCACCCCAGCCTCCCTTCACTTTCATAATTGCCACAGATGATCAGCATGCTTTGGTTGTTCGGGGAGCTCATCCCCAGGACTGAGCAGAGCCAGAAGCCCACGCTGGAGATGGGACCTAGAAGCCATGAGAAATGGCAGCTCCTAGAAGGACACAGAGCCTTCCTCTGTGCCCAGCACTTGGGTGGGACAATCTCCAACTGTTGCTTCCTTCATGGTATCACTGACACCCTCCACCCGTGGGGTGGTTCTGCCTCTAGTACTGCCTGTTGCCCTTCTTTCCCTCCTTTGTGCTGCTTTCCACTTCTATGATCTCCTTCCTGTGGGCACTTCAATACCGCCTATCAGTCTAACTTCCAGTGAGAGGGAATGGCAAATGCCATTTCTCCTATATTTTTACAATTTCCTTAGTTTTTGTCTTCTGAAACACTTTACAGGAGCACCTCCCTACCTGACTGTCTTCGTTGCACACCCAAGCCAGCACAGGTAGTGTGTAGTGGAGGTTGTCGCTGTGGGTATGTCCCATTCTCATGGCATGTCCCTCATTTGGTGCTGAGGTGGATTCACTTGGCTAGCAGTGGCTGGATTTAGGAGCACTACTGGTAAAACTTGACACCATTTGTGTGGCATTTCCTCAGCAGCTGCTTAAGGAAGTCTGTAAAGTAACTTCTGCAGGATCTAGGAGTGCATGTTCCCTGTTCTCCTTACCTTCATGTAAAGGGGTGTGGGGGAAGGCAGCAGTATTCTTCACTTGTCCCTCCCCGTCTTACCCCAACAGGTCGCTGTGCTCCCATGAAGAGCATCTCCAGCAGCCTCAAGGAGACCATGAACCCCCACGACATTGTCCAAGATGCGATCCACAATTTCTCCCCAGCCTACCAGCAGTACACCCAGCAGTCAACACTGGAGCATGGTCCACCCTGGCGCAACGGCAGTCATGTTATCTCGCGCTCCCACAGCTGCTCGGGTGCCCGTGACAACGAGAAGACACTCTTGCTGAGCTCTGACGATGAATTCTAGGAGGGGAAACTGCCAGCACAGGCTGTAATTTTCCTTCTTTTGTTGTTTTTTATTTTTTTTAATTTATTGAAGCAGAAACACGCAAGTCATATCACTTCCTAGAGAGTGCAGATTGCAGAAGTGGGCACTTCCCATTAGCTTTTGTGGGTACGGACACAGTGAGCAGTGTGGAGGTGGGGGAATGGCCAGGACTCCATTCTCGAGCCCATTCCTTACAGCAGTGATCGACTGGAATTAGTTGAAGCAAAGTTCCAGGGTTTGGGGCTCTGGCCTCCCACACCTGCCTGGCTTGGTGTGGAGCATGACTGGCCAGAGCCTGGAGTTGTGGCCAAAAATGTTTTTGTTTTTTTTCCAACTGGACAACCCAACTGCTTTGCATTCCTCTTCCTGAATGGTTGATGTAGGCACAGTTTTCTCCCCCAGCTCCCTGCTACTAACATCTCTGTGATCCTTAGGAAATGGGATTAGGATGCAGTGAACCTGCCTGGCTTGGTGTGGAGCATGACTGGCCAGAGCCTGGAGTTGTGGCCAAAAATGTTTTTGTTTTTTTTCCAACTGGACAACCCAACTGCTTTGCATTCCTCTTCCTGAATGGTTGATGTAGGCACAGTTTTCTCCCCCAGCTCCCTGCTACTAACATCTCTGTGATCCTTAGGAAATGGCATTAGGATGCAGTGATAAGCATTCCTGAGGACCAGACCAGAGATTGGTCTCTCTATAGCCACTGCCTCGAATGCTTGGTAAGGAACATCTGCCCCCACCCTCCTAAGCACCTGGTTCTGCAGTCCTGTACTTGAGTGAGCAAGAGGGAAAAGGATAGGACTTTCTTCCTCTGCTCCCTGCATCCCCCCTGCTCCCCATCAAAGCTGATGCTTGTTGAAGCTCAGCAGGGATGGAATTACTGTCTCACAAGGGTGGGGTTTTCTAATCACCAGGTGTCCAAGCTTCCTATCTCCCCTGTGTTCCTGTGGCAAGAAGCTTCCCTGGAGCGTGTCTCCTGCTAACAAGACTGAGGACTGGCCATAAAGGGTGTTGGAAGTTTGTAGAGCTCTGGCCCTTTCATCCCTCTTTGGGAAAGGGAGATACGTAAACACTAAAAGGTTTTTTCTTCTTGTTTCCTGTCCCCCACCGACATAGCTGTCGCTCTTAAAGGTGTGGATTGCACCAGGTAGCTGCCAGAGCAGGTCCTGGTCTCTCACAGGTAGCTCTCCCCATGCTTGTCATCACTGACTTCCCCTGTGAGCTGCACAAGTTTTGTCCTTAGGCTGGAGTATTCAGGAAGGGATGCTGCGCACTCCTTTGTTTTTTATCTCCATAGCTCTTCTGGGCCAAGCTGGAGCAGACTTGAAACCTGACATGACCTGGATGGTTAAAATTGTCCCTCTTAGTTTCCCAGGCAGCAGTTGCTGCTGCTGCACCCTTCACAGGCCCTGCAGCAAATGCGATGCTATCAAGGGTGGAGCCAGCATCCACGGGAGTTGGAAAAGAAGCTTCCCCTTGCTTTTGTTGGGTTTTGGATTGGCCCCTAGGTATTTAATGGAGCCAAAATAAAAACGATCCCTCTGTAGATCTATTCAGGGACCAGGAAATGCCTCTTGCTTGCTTAAAATTGTCTGGGGGAGGAGGGGGGAGCACACTCAAGTGCCATAGATCAGAAACCCCTACCCCCAAGCAGGATGCAAAATGGAGAGGTTGGAGCAAGCCGCTGTGTTCTTGGCTGTAGTTTCTCTGTTCCTCTCCCGCTTGATGCCTGCCCTGCCATCAGCAGACCTGCGCGTTTCCAGATTGCCCCTCATTGCTCTGCTAGGAGAACTGGGGTCTGGTTTACTGCCTGGAGTTTACCTTTCCTCTTGTATCCTAATCTGTGTGCTAGCTCATTCACTTTCTTGGAAGTGACTGTGAGCGAAGAGCACCTCATTTCCTCAGCACCCCTGCCAGAAGCTGGTGGTCAGGAGCAGGGGGAAAAGGGCTTGGAGAGAGACGGGTTTGCTCCCTGCTGTGAGGGTAAGATGGGGGAAGGCATAAGGACAGCGTCTCCTTCCATACTCGCCACTCTGAGGGAGCTGGAGGCAGGGTCCGTGGATCCAGCAGCTTCTCTGCTGCTGGATTTCCCCATTTGCACACAGCCTGCGATGCCACGCAGTTAGTTACTGCTTTTCCTAAATCTGCTGCTTAAGTGGACATGCAAACGCTAGCTGCCAGGCTTTGTGTGGGCTTGGTGTAAAACTCCTTTTCCTCATGCCATAAGCTGCCTGGAAAGCAGGGCTGAAGATTGAATGGGCTTTCCTTCCATCTTCCATGGCTTTGATTGAGTCCTTTAGCATGAGGTATTTATTTTAAACTTCCCCTCTCTCTTAGGAAAGTGGGGCATGGGGAGTGATCCCTTCCTCCCCTTTCCTTGCATTTGCAGGCCTTGATAATGTCCCAATGTCACTTAATGGGTGACTGTCCCCAATCTTTGTTGGGTGGCCGAGATCGGAAGTCTCTGGGATTGCCCTGCTGAAGGTGATCCAGGCTTGGGGAAGCATTTTTTAAAAATTTATTTTGAAATGTGTGCTGCATATATATGCTGTGCAGAGGATCTGGATATTCTCAAAGCTTCCTGTATGTAGTGGTTTAAAGTGTAACCCTTTTGCACTAGCTGCCTTTGGAGAAGCCTGGTGAAGAACTAGCACCCAAACAACAGCCAGCTGCCATGCGTTATAATTTTATATACATATGTATTTTTTAACACCACACAAAATAATCTCTGAGCTTCCTGCTCTCCCTCATGACAGGCAAATGCCAGAGCAAGGACTGGCTCTGAAGCTGCTCTGGCTTGGACGAACAAATATCTTATAAGACCCAGAGCTTGAGACCAAGGAGGCCAAGGCATCTGTGGTCTTGCAGGTCTGCTCTTGGTAGCCCAGGGCCCCAACAAACGTGTTGGTTCCAGGAGTAGGCCCTTGGAGCTGCTCTCCCTCACCTGCTTCCGAACATCTCCTTCCTTCCTTCCTTCCTTCCTTCTTTCCTTTTTGTTTACCATGTAACATACCCATGGGATTTGTTTATTATTTTTCCATCTAGAGTAGTTCTTTGTATATAAACGACTGAAAAAAAAAATGTATGATAAATAAGACAGAGTCACCTAGTTTTGTACCTATTGTGTTTAACTGATGTGAGCTCAGCGACAAGCTGCTCTCTCTATTTTGGTCTTTGTGACGTTATACTCTGCAGAAATGAGCAAATATGATGACAAATAAAAATATAGAGAGAATATAGATTGTACTTAAGCTGCCTCTGTGTGGTGCTGTCTGGGTGACTTCTCTGAACTGATTCTGAGTTTTTGCTCGTTGCAGGGGCTGAGGCTTAGTGGGTCAGTATGTCTTGTCCTCCTAGTCCTTTTCTGGTGAGGAAAGCTTCACACCGTCTGTGTACGCAGGAGCTGATGGAGAAGCAGTGCTACAGCAGCCTGGGGCGGACACATCACTGATGGCCCCAGGCAGGAGTGAAACCCATTTGGCAAAAACCTCGAGTAGAGATGAGTCCTGATCATGGGTGTTCAGTGTGAAGCACCTGTGGGAGAAGGGGGACTGCTTTCTGTGACATGGGCCCCAGCAAACAGCAGCTCTGGCCTTTTCTTCCGTGAGTGGTGGTGGGGCTGGGGCAGTTTGCAGTGGCAAGAGGGAACGTGAATGTAAAACCCAGAACCACCATGCGAGCACTGGGAGGCGGGGACCTGGCCTGCCTGGGCGTCAGGGGAACACGCTCATTGCTTCCACCTCAGCTCTGAGGAAGGGTGGCTTTTCCCCAGGGAGGAGGTTTGGCTTCACCTCTGTGTAAGGCACCTGCCATACTTCCTTCCCCTTCTCCTGCCACCCACAGACACAAGCTCCCTGCTTTCCTCCTCACTGTTCCTGAGTCAGGCAGTGAGGTCACTTGGCAGGGAAGTTTTTGGGTACGGCTGCCTCTTGCCCTGCATCAGGTCTGAGGGAGTTTTTCTAGTGAAAAGCATTATCTTTCCTAGGAAAAGCTGATTAATCACAGCTGAACTGCTCCTGAAAGCAAGCACTTTGGGGGGTGATGTTCAGCATTAAGCTTGCTTACTGAGCCCCTTTTCTTCCAGAGACTATAAATCTGTGTTTGTTCTAAAAAGTCATGAGCTGTCCCTCATCCCATCTTTTTTGGACACATTCTTGAACATGTCCTGCAGCAAAGCTAGAGGGAGCTAGAAGACCTGGTCTCACTGAGACACAGCTCTGTCCTGAAGTTCAAGAATGACCAAACACACTCTCGCTGTGGAAAAAAAAGAACTTGCTTTATTTGTAAAGTCTACAAAATACAGAGGAGTCAGGTAAGACACATACTGTAAGTCAGAAAATAAATAAGTATTTTTTTGCTCTATATAAGTATAAGATAAAATGTGATTTGCATATATAAAATATAAAGTACAGCTCTGTACCAACATCCTGGCTGTGCCGAGAGGCGGAATGGCAAAGAGGACGTGAAAATAACTTACGTTCGTGCAATAAATAAACCCAAGAGGAGTTGGGGTGGGGGGATGCTAACCACAGTGCCCCCTCCACGAGCATCGGGCACCTCTCTCCAGGGAGGGATGGAGGCTGCAGCCGAGGGCGGCTGGCGTGGCAATATCCAGGCAGGCGCAGAAATGGGGGGGATCACCTACAGCAGACGATGCCAAGGGTCTGCCTCCTGTTACCTCCCCCTTGCTGCCTGTATTTAGCAAACCCAACTCTTCTCCAGCATTTCAGCCTGCTGAAGAGCTGGTTGTCCCACACCAGTATCCAAGCTGGAGGAAAAACAAAGGGAGGAGCCTACCTGCCTGCCAGGTGGCTCCCAGGAGCAGAGATGCTCTCCACCCCTGCTTCCCACCTCCTGCACCTCCACCTCTCTCTCTGCCTCCACAGCTCTGGCTCTCAGAGGCCAGGAGCACCTTTCCATGGGCTTTGTAGGTGGTGGGGCGCCAGGGAGCTTGGTGGGTCTGTACAAGCCAGCCTGTGCTGAGCAAAACAGCGTTTATCTCTGCTACAGCTGCCTCCGCTTCCTTCCTGCCAGTGCCGCTGCCTTTCAGAGACACCCGGCCGGCCAGGCTGAGTGTCCCATAGGCAGGAAGAGGTGTGAAGGATGTGCGTGATGGAGAGAGAGAAAACAGCACCACTGCTTCTCCCCTTTGCGTACGACAGCCTGGGCTGACCTGCTCACGTCCCCCAGCTCTCCCCTGCTCGAGGGTCCCTTCTCTGTCACCGTCACCAGCCACAGGCTGCCACGGCACTTTCCCATCCCGCTCACCCTTACCAGGCACCAACCTGCAGCCACTTTCTCTCCCCCTCTGACCTGCCATCTTCCCTCGCCATCTCCATCCCCAGAGGCTCCAGCCATGCTGCCACCTCCCTCCCTGCTCCAGCCATGGTCCAAGTTGCAGGGCTGATGCCAACCCCCCCCTCTCAATTGTATCCCTTCTGCCCCTTGCTGCAAAACCTCTCTCCCCATTTCCCTCCCTGGCACATGCTCCTGGGAGTGTCTGGCCCACACTCAGCTCTCCTGTGCCCTCCCCTCAAAAAAGAGGCACCTGGTGTTTTCCTGCCAGCTTGGAGCCATCGGATGCTTCCCCACTGCTGCCTGCACCGCCCAGGGTGAGGGGTGCCCAGCCAGGGGGGCTGCAGCAGAGGACAGGGCTGGGTCAAAGGGGAGGAGGTTGTGGGGGGCCACCGGTGGGGTCCTGTCCTCCACCCCAGCACCCATGCTGCAGCAGCTCTCCCTACACAGAGGAGCTGGAGGTCAAGGGATGGGAGAAGGAGGATTTCAGGCACAGGTCCTGGTGGGAAGGAGGTCAGAGAGGGTACGGGAGGGGATTCATGGGGGAAGGTGCCCCGGGGGGCCCGTGCCCCGCCGGGGGACAGAGGCCAACACTAGGAATAGGCAGCCTGGTTGGCACCGGACTTGACAATGGTGATGACGCTGGCAGTGGCCACCTTGGCAGGGGTCCCGTGGGCAGCCACAGTGCGGGCAAAGCCCTGCAGGGCCTCGTACTTGCCGCGGAGGGTGTCGAGCTCCAGGCGCATGGCGGCATTCTCCCGGGCCAGCTTGTCCACTTCCCACTCCAGCTCCATCTTCTGCTTCTGCAGCTCTTCCTTCTGGCAGACGCGCTTCACCCGGCAGCTGGCGGCATAACCCCGGTTCTTCAGCGTCCGCCGGCGCTGCTTCAGCCTCGCCACCTCCTCCTTGGAGAGGCCCCGCAGGCGGGGGGTGTGCGCCCGCACC